TCTAAAATACAATTAAGACCTCCTTAGAAAGCTAGAAATAGAAATGCCATACGATCCAGCAATCCCACTCCTACGAATATATCCTAGAGAATAAGAGCCATCACATGAATAGACATATGCACACCCATGTTCACTGCAGCATTATTCACAATAGCAAAAAGATGGAAACAACCTAAGTGCCCATCAACGTAAGAATGGATTAAAAAAATATGGTACATAATGGAATACTACGGAACGATAAAGAACAATGATTAATCCGCAAAACATTTCACAACATGGATGAATCTGCAGGGCATTATGCTGAGTGAAATAAGTCAATTACAAAAGGACAAATATTGTATGAGATCACTATTAGAAAAATACAAGAAAAGGTTTACACATAGAAAAAAACAATCTTTGATGGTTACGAGGGAGGGGACGAGTGGAGAGGGGAAATCACTAACTAGACCGTAGACAAGTATTAACTTTGGTGAAGGGAAAAACAATACACAATATAGGGAAGTCATCACAACTTCACCAAGGCAAAGTCACAGAAGTTTCCTAGACACATCCAAACACCTTGAGGGCTGGAGACCATGATCTCAGGGGACATTTGGGTCAACTGGCATAATACAGTTCATAAAGAAAATGTTCTACATCCTACTTTTGTGAGTAACATCGGGGGTCCTAAAAGCTTGCAAGTGGCCATCTAAAATATATTTATTGGTCCCAGCAGGTTCAGAGCAAAGGAGAATGAAGAAAACCAAAGACACAAGGAAAATATTACCCTAAAGGACTAACAGATCACATGAACCATAGCCTTCACCAGCCTGAGCCCAGAAGAGCTAGATGGTGCCAGGCTACTACCACCGAATGCAATGACAGGGATCACAATAGAGACTCCCGGGCAGAGCAGGAGAAAAACGCAGGACAAAATTCAAATTTACAAAAAAGGACTAGACTTAATGGTCCGATGGTGACTGGTAGAACCCCTGAGACTATGGTCCCCAGACACCCTGCTAACTCAGAACTGAAGCCACTCCTGAATTCCACTTTCCAGCCAAAGATTAGACAGGCTTATAAAACAAACAGTAACACATGTAAGGAACATGCTTCTTAGTTCAATCGAGTATATGAGACCAACTGGGCAACACCTGCTCAAATGCGAAGGCAAGAAGAACAGGAAAACTGGAAGAATGGACACTGAGAACCCAGGGTGGAAAGGAAAGAGTGCTGACACATTGTAGGGACTGCAACTAACGTCACAAAACAATTTGTGTATAAAATTTTTGAATGAAAAACTAATCTGCGCTGTAAACTTCCACCTAAAACACAATACAATTTAAAAAAAGAAGAAGATGGAAGGAATACACAAAGTCACTGCACCAAAAAGAACTGGTCAACGTTCAACCACGTCCAGAGGTAGCATACGATCAAGAACTGATGGTATTGAGGAAAAAATCCAAGCTGCACAGAAGGCACTGGCAAAAAACAAGGCTCCAGGAATTGATGGAATACCAACTGAGATGTTTCAACAAATGGATGCACTGATGGAGATGCTAACTTGCCTATGCCAAGAAATTTGGAAGACAGCCACCTGGCCAACTGACTGGAAGAGATTCATATTTGTGCCCATTCCAAAGAAAGATGATCCAAAAGAATGTGGAAATTATTGAATATCATTAATATCACATACTAGTAAAATGCTGCTGAAGATAATTCAAAAATGGTTGCAACAGTACATCAGCAGGGAACTACCAGAAACTCAAGCCAGGTTTCTAACAGGACATGGAATGAGGATATCATTGCTGATGCCAGATGGATCTCAGCTGAAAGCACAGAATACCAGAAAGATGTTTACCAGTGTTTTATTGACTATGCAAAGGCATTCGGCTGTGTGGATCATAATGAATTATGGATAACATTGCAAAGAATGGGAATTCCTGAACACTTAATTGTGCTCATATGGAACCTGTACATGGACAAAGAGGCAGTTGACTGAACAGAACAAGGGGATACTGAGTAGTTTAAAATCAGAAAAGGTGTTTGTCAGGGTTGTATCCTTTCACCATATTCAATCTGTACGCTAAGCAAAGAATCCAAGAAGCCGGAGTATATGAAGAAGAATGTGGCATTAGAATTGGAGTAAGACTTAACAACCTGTGATATGCACAATCTTGCGTGCTGAAAGCAAAGAGGACTTGAAGCACTTACTGATGAAGATCAAAGACTACAGCCTTCAGTGAGGATTTCATCTCAACATAAAGAAAACAAAAATCCTCATAACTGGTCCAATAAGCAACATCATGATAAATGGAAAAAAAAAACTAAAGTTGTCAAGGATTTCAATTTACTAGGATCCACAATTAACCATGGAAGCAGCAGTCAAGAAATCAAACGACCTACTGCACTGGAGAAATCTGCTGCAAAAGACCTCTTTAAAGTGTTAAAAAGCAAAAACGTCACCTTGAGGACTAAAGTGTGCCTGACCCAAGCCATGGTATTTTCATTTGTCTCATATGCATTTGAAAGCTGGACAATGAATAAGAAAGGCTGAAGAATTGACATGTTTGAATTGTATTGGTGAAGAATACTGAATATACCATGGACTGCCAGAAGAATGAACAAATTTGTCTTGGAAGAATGCTCCTTAGAAGCAAGGATGGCAAGACTTCATCTCACATACTTTGGACATGTTATCAGGAGGGACAAGTCCCTGGAGAAGGCATCAGGCTTGGTAAAGTACAGGGTCAGCAAAAACCAGGAAAACCCTCAGTGACATGGACTGACACCATGGCTGCAACAATGGGCTCAAACATAGCAATGATTTTGGGGATGGCACAGGATCAGGCAGTGTTTCCTTTTGTTGTACGTAAGGTTGCTCTAAGTCGGAAACGACTTGACGGCACCTAACAACAACAACAACATACCATCACATACAGAATATTTGAGTAGATGGTTACTGGGACAGTAAGAAGTAAATTATCTTGGTTAAAGATTGGATTATCAGGGTTTAATCCAAGAGTTGGCTCTTTTTTTTCATTACAAAGATACATCCATATTATGAGTTAAAAAGGTGTCTGTGGGCTAACCTGATAACCAACACATGTAAAATTCCAAACAATTCAAAATGACTTTGGGGACATAATTCTTTAGACAGGAAATGCCTACGGGTTTGCAAACTGATTCTCTTTACCTCATCTCTACCGACCAGTGAAAACATGAAATGATGAAATATACACACACCACACACAGGCACACACATTATCACATGTGCTCACAAGTTATCAGTACTTTCTAGTTCTAGATCTTAGAAGAGAACTTTCTCCAAGTCTACTTGTTCAGTAATCTGAAACGATATTTAACCAGAAGAACATGAAATGATATTTGACCAAATGATTACAGGGATTGGTGAACTGTTAGATACAAAGTTCATGATGACCAAAATTCAGCTGGAGAACTCTATACTGAGCAAAATTGTGGCTTAATACTAAAGCACAATGAAACTTTTAGATAGATAAGAATATACTAAAATACAAACAGCAAAGGAAAATGCTTACAGAAATAAATACAAGATCAGCTTCCTTAATGGCATCATCAATATCCGTTGAAAAAAAGAGATTTTTTCCTCGACAGGATTCTACCACTTCTTTTAGTCCCGGCTAGAAAGAAAAAAGAAAAGAAGTTGTACGTATAGTTTATCATTCATATTAGACATTTTTATAGTATAGAATTATACTATATTTGTTAAAAGGGGCTGTGATGTTGCAATTTAAAGGCCTAGACTTGCTCTCACATAATATCTTTATAGAAAGACAATGATCATACATCAAAAGCCCCAAGTGTATTCTGTACAATATAACTAAATGAAGCAAAACTGAACTTGCCACAATCAGCATTGCAGTTCATTTTAATGCTGTGTCATTGTTTACCATGTACCCGATTGCTTCATAATAGTTAACTATTGACTCTGAGTCTCAAACACAATTATCAGAGAAGTCAAGGTATTCTGTGATTTCAAGCAAAGATTAAGAGTTTGCACTGTCATTATGAATGCAGGTTTTTATCCCAATAATTTAGGCCACATAACAGGTTGTAAAACAGCCAATATTTACTCTATGCACACATAAATATATATTTTTCTAAATCATATTATAAGAATCACTTCTACTGAAAATTTGTTGTTACATTTTAACAGGAGATATATTTATGTTAAGAACACTGAGCTGTACAACTCTATCAAGAATTCTTGTCCAAAAAAACAAAAAATCAAGGTTAAATTTAATTAGATCTCCAGATCTAATTACCAATTTATAGAAAATATAGAGTATAGAAGAACAGGTTAAAAAACACCATGGGGACTCAATCAGCAAAATACAGACTGTGAAAATTTCTGAAGGATAAACAGTGTGGTTTCTTCAAAAAATAAACTGAAAGGGCAGGGTGAGATGAGAAATGGAGATTAAAATATCGTGCCTTAAAAGACAGTTAAGAGATATCGATCAATTGAAATATACAGAACTTACTTGGATCCCGAATCCAACTGTTGGGGGAAGAACATTATAAGAATTCTTGATATGAAGACATTACTGGGTTTTTTTTTAGTGGTGGAATAGTAATGTGCTTATTGTGTAGGAGTATTCCAAAACTCAGGCACTTGGCATGGTAGAGGCTTCTGTCTGTCTGAAGTGTAGGCCCGACTCCATTTTGTCTTCTGCTTTAATGTGTGATTTACAACTATGGGATGGAAATTTTTACAAGACGCTGTACAAACTGAAATTAGGTTATGCTAAAGAATGTGATTTTGCTTACCCTCATTTTGCTTGCACAGATGTTCCAAGATGCATAAGATTTTAATGGTTAGCCGATTCTCAGAAAATGCCCCTTAGCCCTCCTCGAAAAATGTTTTTACAACTTTGTACTTTTCCATGGCTATGTCCCAACTGATGTTAAAAGTCAACCAATCATATTTTATGCTGTAAACTTCCTCACACTTGGAATTTCTGCCTTTATAAGCGCTTGTCAGGATCAACTCTTAGGAGCACTTAGTGGTTTCATTTTGGGCTGTCCAATTCGCGAACTGCATTTTCCCTCAAAACTTTTTTACTTTACTTTAATAGAGTTGAGGTTTCACTCTTTGACACTGTGTTTGAACAAAGAATTATCTTTTAGAGATATATAATGAAATGTTTATGGATGGAGTAAATAATCCAGGATGGTGGTAGTTGGGAGGAGGGCTTGGCCATGTTGATAATTGTTCAAACAGGGTGATAGGTACAAGGGGACTCATTACACTATTCTCTCTGCTTTTACATATTGTTTGAAATTTTCCATAATAAGAAGTAAAACAAAACAAAAACCCAGACCTAAAACACTGAAGTGTACTTTTCTTGGGGAAGACGGTTCAAGCAGTATCCACAATATTAACAAAGTTTAGAAAACTATCTACATAGCAAAGTGAAAGCCACTTCAGGTGCCACAGGACTAGCATTATATCCAAGTGTAACTCACTCTTCTTCATAGTTCTGAGGCCTTTTAACATAAACAAGTGGAGGAAATGCAAAACGTAAATTCAGATTTCCGTCAGTTTGATTAAAGTATTAACAGGACCAGCAAAATATAAAAGAGCCCTGGTTGCACAGTGGTTAAATGCTTGGTTGCTAATCGGAAGGTCGGTGGTTTGAACCCACCAGCTGCTCTGGGGGAGAAAGATGTGGCAGTCTGCTTCTATAAAGATTACAGCCTTGGAAACCCTATGGGGCAGTTCTACACCCCACAGGGTTGCTATGAGTGAGAATCAACTTGATGGCAATGGGTTTGGTTTGGTTTTTGGCAAAATATACGAACCTCTACAACTATGAGTATGTGTCACCAATCATAGTAAATGTTTCCTTGGTTATTTCAACCAGGTGCAAGGAAATGAGAGTAAAAGGTTATGGAGTTAGGATTTTGCAGAGAATAAGATTTAATTTGGTCCTATATGTAATCTGCTAATAACTAAATTAAGCTAAAATCAGTGCAATGTAGAATTTATACTAAGCCTTAAAAAGACCTCAAAAGCAGCAACTACATTACTGGGATACAGAAGCAGTTAATAATACAGGTTCTACCTCTTATTAGGCTCATTACATAATTATCACAATTAGTATTCTGAATTAATACAGTACTTTTTATGAGAGAATTCAAAACTTTTCATAGGGTAAAATAATCTTTTATTTTACTCAGAAAAAGCAAAGCAAATTATCCATTTTGCTTAAAAAAGTAGTTATAAAATTATTTTTTAATGAACAAAGTTACCAAAAAAGCAGTAACTATTCAGTAACAGAAATACAGTAACATTAAACAAAGTGTTCAAATTGTTAAATATTAACAGTATCTACTACACTATTTTCTGAGTTTACAATACTACTAATTTTCTGATCTGAATCTTCAAATTCACAAGTCCTAAAATCCAATGCTACCTCTCTCACTTTCTTCAAAATATCTTATCTCCCACTTCTGGAAACTGAGACTACCATGTGTCAACCACTTTTATTTCATGTCCCCACCAACAAAACTGCCTGCATCTTTATGCATCCTTGATTGCTTCCCTCCGGTCTCTGAGGAAGAGGCTTTCAAGGCCAACCCCTCCACTTATACTTTCGATCCCCTCCTTTTGCTGTGTGGACCTTACTTCATCAATTTTCTTCTTGTGTGTATTTTATTTTATTGTGGTGAAATACATATAACAAAAAGTTTGCCACTGTAACTATTTTTAAGTGTACAATTCAGTGATATTAATTACATTCACCATGCTGGGCTATCATGACCACTATCCATTTCCAGAAGTTTTACATCACCTCAAACAGAAACTCAAACAGCCCCTAACCAAAAAAAAAAAGAAAAACCAAACTGTTGCCGTCGAGTCAATTCTGACCTATGGCGACCCTATTCATCAGAGTAGAACTGCCCATAGAGTTTCCAAGGAGTGCCTGGTAGATTCGAACTGCCAACCTTTTGGTTAGCAGCCGTAGCTCTTAACCACTATGCCACCAGGGTTTCCTAAAACAGCCCCTGGTAACCACTAATAAACTTTTATCTCTATGTATTTGCCTATTCTAGATATTTCATGTAAATGGGATCATACAATATTTGATCCCTTTGTGTCTGACTTATTTCATTCAGCATAATGTTCTCACAGTTCATCTATGTCATAGCATGTATCAGAACTTCATTTCTCTTTATGGCTAAATATTATTCCACTGTATGTTTATATCACATTTTGCGTAACCATTCATCTACTGATGAACACTTGGGTTGTTTCCACTTTTTGGTTACTGTGAATGGTGCTGCAATGAAGCAATGTTCATACTTGTAAAGTATCTGTTTGCATCCCTGCTTTCAAGTCTCTTGGGAATATACCTAGGGTGGAATTGCTGGGTTGTATGGTAATTCTATGTTTAAGTTTGAGGAACCTGCCAACTGTTTTTTATAGTGGTTGCACCATTTTACATTCCTACCAGCAATCGATGAGGGTTCCAATTTCTCCACATTCTTGCCAGCACTTGCTAGTTTCCATTTCTTCTCATAATAGCCACTGCAGTGGATGTGAGATGGTATCTCATTGTGGTTTTGAACTGCATTTCCCTAATAACTATTGCTGCGGGAGAAAGATGTGGTAGTTGCTTCTGTAAAGATTTATAGCCTTGGAAACCCTATGGGGCAGTTCTACTCTGTCCTGTAGGATTGCTATCAGTTGGAATTGACTCGATGGCAATGGTTTTTTTTTTTTTTTTTTTAAAGAACTACCGACCTTGAGCATCTTTTCATGTTTACTGGACATTGGCATATCTTCTTTGGAGAAATGTCTATTCAAGTCCTTTGCTCATTTTTTAATTGAGTTGTCTTCTTTTTCTTCTTATGATTTTGACCCTTCCTTCTCTATGGAATTTTTCTACCTTAACTTATTAATATGCACAATCCTTTATCAACCAAAGAAAATAAAAATAAAATCACTGCCTTTAGACTGTGTCCCTCTCCAATGACCACCTCCTTGATCGTCTAAACTACATTTCTTAAAAGAGGAGTCTTACTCCTTTTCTACACTTTCTCACTTCCTCAATCTCCTAGCATTCGTAATTTTCTGGCAAAGGTTACAATGGCCTCCAAAATATCAAATTTAATGAATATATTTCACTCCTTATCTCTTGCATTTCACATAGTTGATAGCTTACTGTTTCATTTAACAAATGTTTGTTGAGCACTTACTATGTGCTGGCCACTGTGCTAGTCACTCATGATTAAGACATATACAACTCTGTGAAGTTTGTACTACTTAAAACTCTTCTGGTTTCTAGTTCTCCTTTTCTTACCAACCCTTCATTACTTCTCTATGGCATTTCCTTCACCCACCATCAAACATTAGTGTTTTTCAGGGTTCTGTCCTTGACCCATCCTCTGTTCTCTCTATATGCTCTTTTTGGGAGAGTTTAACTATTCCAATGTTAACTATTACCTGCATTATTCCTAACTTTATATTTCCAACTCTGAGTTCTCTACCTGAACTGTTAAAACATATATCCAACTGCCTCCTGAACATCACCATCTGGATGTCCCAAAGCCTCTATAACTAAGTATACCCAAACAGAATTCACCATTTCACCTCTCACCACCAACCACTACATCTTATTTTCTTCCTGTATTCCTGATTCCGATTAACGGTGCAATTATACACCTAGTCATCCAAACCAGAAACCTAGATATCACTCCAGATTCCTTCCTCTCCATCCTTTTTATACATCAAGTCTTATCATTTTTTCTTCTAAGTATTTGTCTAATTAGTCTGGTGCGACTAAAAGCAGATGGAGTGGGAGGTGGGCAACTCTCAAAGAGAATGTGTACTCAAAAAAGCATATTAAATATTATAATTGCGTATTAGCTATCCGTGACCATGAGTTAAATAATAGTCACAAGAACTTTCTGAAGTCAAAATTTGGCATTTAAAATAAAAATTGATGCCACAGATCCTTGTAACATTCTTGAAAACAAACATCTATTTGCTTGCATATTTAAAAATGCCTTATAGGATATATAGATTTACAAAAGGAAGTTGATTATAAAGGCATCTAAGATTTTTCTAGAAATAAGTGCTTCTTTGCCTTGTCAAGGTAGGTCAGTGTAAAATGACAACTTGTAACAATATATATATAAGCTACTCTTCAAAGCAATTCAGAAAAAATGTAAACTCCGGGTAAACCCACTCCAGTGAAACCTGTGAGAGCTGGAACTCGAGGCTGCCTTCTTTTTCCGGGTCTCAGAAGTTATCCACCTTTGACAGGGTACAGTCTTACCATTTTCCTATCACTCATTTTAGTGGAAAATGTTTGAGTATTCCTTCTCTGACAAGTTTCCGCCTTACACAGTTTCCAGCTTTTACAAGTTTTACTGTATTTGTTTTTCTTCTTTTTTAGTTCTTCCTCTTTGACATTTCACCTAACATTTCATATCACCCAATACAGCCAAGGAAATGTACAGGAGCAGTTAATTTTACAACATAAAATAAAGATGCAACAAAGGTCTAACATATCTTTAAAAATGGATAATGGGTCACACAGTTCATTTCCCCAAGTTTTTTGTTCATTTTTTAAACATTGCCTTAGAAAAATTCCTCTTTCCTCTCTGAATTTTCAACACCTGAGGTCTAAGAAAGACTAATGAACATTATAAGGCTGAAGTCATTTACTTGCTAAGAACATTCCTTTCCAGAATTTTAAAGTAACTGTCTTAGGCTGGGTTCTCTAGAGGAGCAAACCCAGTGAATCATATATATATATATATATATATACACACACACACACACACATAGAGATATTTATTTCAAGGAAATGGCTCAGGCAGCTGTGGAGGTTGGCAAGTCCCAAATCTGTGGGTCAAGCATCAGGCTGGAGGCTTCTCCTGACTCACGTGGTTGCAGGGGCTGACAAACCCAAAATCACAGGTCAGATGGCAGGCTGCTGGCTCATGGGGCTGTGAGAGCTGGCAAGTCCCGAAATCTGCAGGTCAGACAACAGGCTGCTGGCTTACATCCCAAGAAATGGAGGTCAGAGGATGATGAGTCAGATGCAGGATCCACAGAGGGCGAGCTTTGCCAGAACATCCATATATATTAGATGTAGGCCATATCCGCAAGGAAACTCCCCTCTCAACTGAGTGGCTGGTCACATCAGATTACAAAATGGAAGACGATTACATACTATCTGAAAAACCACTGAGAATCATGGCCTAGCCAAGTTGACACATAACCTTAACCATCACAGTAAGAGTGCCATGATCTTACCCCTCAAAGTCAGTTGGGTTTTTGAAGGAGATTCCATTTCCTTTGTAGGTTACACTAAGAAGTGCAGAACTAAAATAGCTGCCTCTATTAGCATCATCTAATTTTCTGGAGTAGACACAGAAAAATGAGATAAAATAAGCCTTTAAAGACCAGATGTTAACCACTAAATTAAACCAGCAGAATTATGGGACTTTAGAGTTCTGAAAACTCAGATACTGCTTCTCATAGGCAGTGCTAGCTAGACTTTGAAATACATTCTACTAAAGAGCTTTAAAGAAAAAAAAAATTTATTTACAATATAAAGGTGTAAGACAAAAAGAAATAATTTTGTTTGTTTGTTTATAAAAGGTAGGTTATTGAGAGAAAACAAGTAAGATATGGAAAAGAAGTCATTATTTTCTACCTTAGCTTTCTAAATTTAACTATATTCCCAACTGCGTTCAATGTCCAATTGGAACACTATTTTACATCTAAAGCACTGAAGTCCTAGGAAGAAGAGGAGCTTCCAATTTCAAATAATGAAAATAGTAATACCAATAAGAATCTGACTGAATACTGTAAGAGGACCATGTCTGGTCAGTTTATTTTTTTTGTTTTCTCCAAGAAAAATGTCTAATTCCAATATATTGTAGATTGTTTATGCTTTTTTCCCTACTTGAGGGATGACCTTTGTTTTTAAGTAAAATTTTTATTGAAGCAGAATATATATACAGAAAAGTGCATAACATTAGTACAGGAAAGTATACAGCGAACACACTTGTGTAACCACTACCCATTTCAAGTAGCAAAACATTAACAGTATATCAGAAGTCCACTGTGTGCCCTCTCCTAGTCACTACCACCCCCCAAATTACTATCATACTGAATTCTATCTTCATACATTAGTTTACCAATATTTGAACTTAATATAAATGGAATTACACCGTACGCATTCTTTTGTTTCTGGCAACATTACTTTTGTGAGATTTAACCATATCATTACATCCAGGAGTAGTTTCATTGAATTTCAATGTGTTGTATTATTTTATTGCAGTAATATACCATCATTTATATATCCATTCTATTGCTAATTAACATTTGGGTTGTTTCCCTTTTGGGGCTATTACACAAACAGCACAGCTAGTACCTATCTTTGGGTGCACATATACAAGCACTTCTGTTGGGTATACCCCTAAGGGTGGAACTGCTGAGTCACAGACTACACATATTTTCCATTTTAGTAGATATTGCCAAATAGTTTTGCAAAGTGGCTGTAATAATTTACATTCTCACCAGCAGTGTACAAAGTTTCAATTGCTCAACATCCTTGTCAGCACCTGGTATTGTCAGTAATATTAATTTTAGCCATTCTAATGGATGCCTTTTGTTTTTCAAGACTAGCATACACTGCTGGCAGAATTAATTACTGAATGTTTGGATATAAGTATGGCTTACAGGGTTTCTGAGGACTTGCAGCTTTTTTATGGATATCAGAATTATAATTCCCCAAAATCAAATATACTAGTAACGTTATATAAGGGAAAGAAGTGCTGTTAACACTGAGGTAGTTAAAAAACTATTGTGGGTAGGTCATGTCGTAGAAGAAGAAAAGGTAAAGCACAAACAGAATTTACTACGTACACAGAGGATTTTTGTTTGTTTGTTTAAATCCTAAATCTGATCCAGACAAGAGTAAATCCATGCCATAGTCTCAGGGAACAACTTAAGTCAATTGGCATAACATAGTTCACTAAGATAATGTTCTACATCCTAGTCTGGTGAGCAGTGTCTGGGGTCTTAAAAGCTTGTGAGCGGCCATCTAAGACACAACTATTGGTCTCTACGCATATGGAGCAAAAGAGAATGAAGGAAATCAAAGGCTCAAAGAAGAAACTAGTCCAGGGGACTAACAGACCACACAAACCACAACCTCTTCTAACCTGAGACCAGAAGAACTAGATGGTACCTGGCTACCACTACCGACTGTTCTGACCAGGGACATAATAGAAGGTGGATTTACCTATTGGATGGATAAATGGTGACTTTCGTATTTAGTGTTCAGTACCACAAATTTGTTTAATTGGAATTTCAAATTTTCTGTGAATTTAGAAAACTTATGGTTAGGAAAATATCCTTCTAACTATTTTACTGAGCTATCTGGGTCTCATTTTTTTTTTACTACTTTATTGTAAAATGAGTTATTGATATTATGCTTTCGAAGCCCAACAAGAAAGTGTTTGAAAATTTGATGGTAGAATTTTCTATCTCAAATTAATATAATACTCTTTTTTTCAGAAGAGCTTAGTTATTTATAAGACTGTTATCAACCATAGTCTTTAGATGTGTTAGGCATTTGGAAGGGAAGTCTCAACCAACTTTATCTATAAGATAAATATGCCTGCCATTTATAGGCACATGAGATTTAGAAATCCTTGGAAAAGCACCCATAGAGTAATGGCCACTCAACATCATGGATTTACACTTTTTTAAATAACATTTTGTTGTGTTTTATGTTTTATGAAAGTTTACACAGCAAATTAGGTTCCACTTCAACAATTTTTATAAAAATTGTTCTGTGCCACTGGTTAGTTTTTACAATGTGTCAGCATTCTCGCCTGATGTAAGTATAATAATGTAAAAATATAATGGACTTATATGAATTAATATTACAAACAACAGTTTATACATATCACTTTTTATTTTGATCATATAATATGTAACTACACTAAAAAAAAAAATTAGAATATATAGAAAAGAAAAAGAATGATCCATAATCTCACCACACTAATACAACCACTATTAATAATTTGTTACACTTCTTTGCAGTCATTTTTCCTGGGCATACCTGACATAATTGTAATTATAATGTCCATAACATTTTATATCTAGACTTTTTTCATTTAATTTCATATCAGTTACCGTCACAGATTTAACAGTGCATATAAATTATTTAACAAAGATAGTTTAAGAAAACAAAGAGCATAAGAACAAAGAGTTGTTTAATATAGTTACCTCATAAATAGGAAGTGTAGGAGAGTTCCATGCATTGATTCTCGATTCATTGACATCAACTACTGTTACCCTGATTTCAGGGCACATCTGAGCAATGACACTACACGTGGGTCCTCCAACATAGCCCGCACCAATGCAACAGATCTTCTTAATTTCAAACATGATTGTCCTAGAAAGGAAACAGAGGACTGTTTTAGTATTGAAATCAGAAAATTTTTAGAAATCACATTGCACATTCATTGTACTTTATAAAAACTGTCAAGGATATCTGGAAATATTTCCTACATTCACTCGTAGTGATAAAAAATAGCATTCAAATTGTATGACCTAGCCTGTTCTCAGCTGCATTAGCATGAAATAATGAAACATATGGAGAAAATTAGAGTACCTGATATTACTGGAAAAGAAGTTAAATCTAGTTTTTAGAAAGTGAAAGAATAAAATAAAACCTCTCTGAGGCCTCTAATACACTAGAACGACTTTGACTGCTGAGGGAAAAGTTCAAGGGTGAACACACTGATGCAATTCTTGCTTAATGCTGGTGTACGAAGGTGAGCTTTACAACAGGTTTAGACTAACGCGATAGATATTAAGATTAGTTTCATAGTCCAAAATTGCCTCTGAGATTGCACTCCTTATACACTAAATTTGGTTGTAGCAATTTATTTTTAGGTATTGGGCAACAGTCTTAAACTTGATTTTAACTTTAATCAGAAACCAGGAGATGGGTAAAGGAAGGCAATTTCTATAGTTACCAAAGCTCTTATACAGATTTTGATAGGTTTTCAAAAGCCATTAGGTGAACTGGTTGATGCACACTAATCAAAATCACTAGGGACTGACTTATACATAAGAAAGTTTATTCATTTATGAGAAAGTCAGCTATCAAAGTGAACATAATTCTTAGAATGTCAGTCCATTCTAAGGCCTCAGAAATCATCTAATCTAATCCTTTCATGAGTTCCAAAGGGAAGGAAAATGGTAATCAGAGTTTAAGAATTTGTTAGTATACTCCCGAATACATCAGAGAAGACACGATGGAAGGCTGGCCAAATTACAAAGCCTGGCAAGTATATACTTCTTATGAAAAAAAGAAGCACAGGAAGAATTTGTGTATAAATTCTTGAATGGGAAACTAATTTGCTTTGTAAACTTTCACCTAAAACACAATAAAATGTTGGGGGGAAAAAAAAGCAAGTTAAAGATCAGGGAGTGGATATTCCCCATTTCCAGAGTATTTCTGGAAAAAAAAAAAAAGTAAATAAATATTTACTTTAAGTATAAAGAGAATGAGTAAATCTTTTCTCCCTGTTTCCCTTCACAGATAAAGAAAAAGGCATACAGCCAAGAAATCAATGGTAGAACCAAGCATGAGCTCTGATACAGAAAGGAAGGAAGGAAGAAAGAACCAATCATGGGTTCTGATACAGAAAGGAAGGAAAGAAAGGAGGAGGGTAGGAAGGAATAAGGGAACTTTATAAAAGTGCTTACATGAGAAATACAAATAAATCAAAAATGTATTTAACAAAAGTAGCAGCAGCACAAAGCACAATGATAGCATCCTTTAAGATTATCTCATTCCCTTTAGTCTGAATCTGTATTAATCAAACAACATTCTCATCTTCATTTGGTTCCCTGGGTAGATTTTCCTACTGGAAGAGAATAAGCTGACCAATTCATACAAGTATCCTAGTCTGCTTGCTGTCTCACTGAATTATTAACAACTAACCTGGTTTAGGAAACCCTGGTGGCGTAGAGGTTAAGAGTTCAGCTGCTAGCCAAAAGATCAGCAGTATGAATCCACCACGCACTTCCTGGAAACCCTATGGGGCAGTTCTGCCCTGTCCTATAGGGTTGCTATGAGTTGGAATCAACTCGACAACAACAGGTTTTAATCTGATTTATAAACTGATCTTTAGTGGTTATGATTAGCAGCTAACAATTCATAGAATATGGTACCAAATGACTTGAAAAATTATAAAAAGAAACAGAATTTTAATAGTAAAAATGGGCAGAATTTGGAGTGTTACAATTCTACCAAAGAAAGCAATATTCTTAGTATGTCACGAAGAGCTTGATTAACTGCTTCCCCTTTTAAAACCTTGTTAATATTTAGCAAGATTAGATAGGACTATAAAACAAAAAATAATACACATGAGGAATGTGCTTCTTAGGTCAGATATATGAGACCAAATGGGCAACTCCTATCCTAAAGCAGGAAGAGGAGGCAGGAAGGGACAGGAACTGACTGAATGGACACAGGGAACCTGGGGTAGAAAGGGGGAGTGTGTGATCATATTGTGGGGATTTCAACTAATGTCACAAAATATGTGTATAAATTTTTGAATGAGAAATTAACTTGAGCTATAAACTGTCACCTAAAGCACAATCAAAAAAAAAAAAAAACTTGCTAAATCTGGTAATTCTCTCCTTAATAATCTAAAATAAGTAAGTTAATCATTCCGTATTATCACTTGGGAAGCCATAAAAATGTGATACTCCTATTAAACTTTTAGGATTCCAAGATTTACCTCAGCAAAAATACTGTGCCTGGTGAAAATTTACCTTTGGCAACCAACCATCTACTTGTCAATTTTACCCTTTACCTCTCTTCAAGCCTCAGGCGCCCTATACATGAGGAGAGAGAGACTGCAAGTGGAAGGAGAGAGGGAAGAGGGCACTGGAATTGCTAAGTGGCTAAAGCTCAGGGGAATATTCCCTGGAAAGCCCCTCTACCTGTGAGCTGTGAGCAGGCTTACTCAAGATGGGTCTCCAGCATTCACTGCTGCTGCCTCCACCTCTATGGTAGAAAGTTTGGCATGTGGTTTTAGAAAAGTTGCTCCAGGCCTATTCCCTTCTTCTCCATCATGAAAAATTAATATTCTCAAAGCGATCCTAGAGGACAGAGTAGAATTGCCCCATAGGGTTTCCAGGAACAGCTGGTGGATTCGAACTGTCAACCTTTTGGTTAATAGTTAAGCTCTTAACCACTATACCACTAGGGCTCCATTTGGGGAATAAGTCAATCAAAAACATTTACTCAGCAGTTCACTTTGTAGCAGTTGAATTGTTCTACGTACTGTGGATACAAAAGTGAACAAGACTGATACAGTCCCTAGTGGGGGTCGAAACAAACATAGTGACCGCAGTTGTGATAAATCCATAAAAAAGATATATGTGGCTGGGAGAGAAATAGAGACTGTCTGTGGGAAAAAGGGCTACTTTAGACAGTGTAATTAGAGAACTCTCTCAGGTGACTTTAAGCTGACTCAAAAGATGAAAATGAGTTAGCTGCACCCAGATAAAATGTTTAAATAATACAATGCGGTATAATCTATTAAATGGCAAAATGAGCATCAAAGTCCAGAGGGAGTGAAAAAAAAAACAAAGAAGGGTTCAAGGCAGATTTAAGACATGAGCTTCGCCTAAAGAATGGATAGGATTTACAAAGAAAAGGTAAGTGGAGAGGGCGTTACAGATAAAGAAAGGAAATAAATAAGGGCTCAGATTCAGAAATGAATCCAGAGAAGTGAGACAATCTGCCTAGTCAGATAAAAAATGGGTACTAAGGAGCGATGAGAAGTATGAACTGTTTCCTAGGGTGGAACTGAATTGTAAGTGGATCTTGAATGCCCTTCCCAGGAAAGCATGACCATATCAATCCTTGAGGCTGTAATTTTTTTTTTTTTTTTTTTTTTTTGGTGCTTTAGGTGAAAGTCTACAGCTCAAGTTAATTTTTCATTCAAAAATGCATACACATAGTTTTTGTGACATTGGTTGCAATCCCCATAATGTGACAGCATTTTTCCACCCCGGGTTCCCTGTGTCCATTTGTCCAGTTCCTATCCCTTCCTGCCTTTTCATCCTGCTATAGAACAGGAGCTGCCCATTTGGTCTTGTATATCTGATTGAACTAAGAAGCACATTCCTCACGTGTATTAATTTTTTGTTTTCTAGGCCTGTCTACATTTTTCTCCTGTTCTGTTCAGAACTCTCTGTTGTGTTCCATGTCAGGCAGTCATTAGTGGTAGCCAGGCACCATCTAGTTCTTCTGTTCTCAGGCTGGTGGGGTCTCTGGTTCATGTGGCCCTTTAGTTCTTTGGGCTAGTATTTTCTTTGTGTGTTTGGTTGTCTTCATTCTCCTTTGCTCTGGGTCGGATGGGACCAACAGATATATCTTGAGGCTATAATTTAATAACTTAAGGTAAAATAACTGAAAGTAATCATAATCAATGATATTAACATTAAAAATCTAATAAATTCCACTGAAGGAAAAAAAAAGTGTGAACAGAGGGGATTATCAGCCTGGAGCTTGGAAAGGGGGAGCCAAAGACAAGAACTAAACTGTCGAGTTGCCGATTCATAGCAACCCTATAGGACAGAGTAGAACTGCCCCATTTCCAAGACTGTAACCTTTACAGAAGCAGACTGCCACATCTTTCTCCCTCGGAGTGGCTGATGAGTTCAAATCACCGACCCGACCTTTTGGTTAGCAGCCAAGCACTTTAACTGCTGCACCACAGGGGCTCCTCAGACAAGAACTACACAATGTTTATTTCAGCAATGTCCAGAGGAGAGTGACACAGAATCAGGAGATTAGGAGTGTTCTGGTTACAGAGAGGTGGGGCAGAAATACGCTTTTCCATGCTTGGATGGTGTCTTAGTTATCTATTGCTGCTATAAAAGAAATATCACAAATAGGTGGCTTTATCAGAAATTTATTTTCTCACAGTTTAGGAGGCTAAACTAGGGAACTTCTAGGGGAAGGCTTTTACTTTCTGTTGGCTGTGGAGGAAGGTCCTTGTCTGTTTCGAGTTTCTGCACCTGGGCAATCTTCATGTGGACTGGCATCTCTCTTCCCCCATCTCTGCTTGCTTCTCTATGCCTCATCTGCTCTTTTTATATCTCAAAGGTGACTGGCTTAAAACACACTGTACACTGATACGGCCTCTTAACATAACAAAGAAAACGCACTCCCAAATGGGATTATAATCACAGATCTAGGAGTTAGGATTTACAACATATATTTTTGGGGGACACAATTCAATCCATACAGATGGTATATTCCCTGAAGATTCTCTTTCTGATTCTGCTCTGCCTTAAATAAATTCAGATTGCCAGGAACTGGATTTGATATACAAGTATTGTAGGCACAGAAAATTTCCCTACTGCAATAGTCAAATTCCTGGATACAGCAAACCTAAAGGTTGGAAGTTCAATTCCACCCAGAAGCACTTTAGAAGGCCTGATGATCTACTTCTGAAAAATCAGCTATTGAAAACCCTATGGAGTACAGTTCTACTCGGACACACATGGAGTCACCATCAGTCAGCATGGATCAATGACAACTGATTTTTTTCTTTTAACTATACTAGTAAAGTTGCATTTTAGTGTATTAATCAATTTCTTATGAGTTTGATTATCATAAATCAACAACTAAAGCCTGATTAACTCTGGGATCATAGCAAAAAATCTGCCTTCCAGGTCTGCAAGGCTGAAGATCAGATTCTGAATTGTGATAAACTTGAAGAATTACAACACTTTAAGAACCTGACTGGACAGCCAGCCAGCCTCTCTAATCAAAACCCACATATCTAGAATACCTAAAAAGTGTAATCTCAAAGTACTTTTGGATTGGAGGATCTTTCTGGGTTACCACTTAATCATATAACCAAGAGGTTATCAGGGCAGCTTTATGCCCTCATTGTCAACCAGGGCAGGCCTCACATTCATGTAATAAACCTGGATTGAATGCCTACTTGATGCAAACTCCTGGGCTCAAGGGGCATATAGTTTAATAAGCACTCCCAGGCTAACAGTTCTTATCAGCAACTATTCACTGCTATATGCTCAGCACCTAGAAGGGCAGGCTCTAAAATATTAATTGAATGAATAAATAACTCTCCACAAGAGCCTCTCTTTTTGAGATGAAGACTGCTATTTGGACAGCTGTTCAGATGGCCACAGTATTTTTGCAGAGACAGACCAAATCCTATCATTTTCTGTTTTCTTGAAGTAGAACTTCAGCATGTTTTCCCAGAGTTACTTCTTATCCACCTTGACTGTGAGGCCTTATTTCAGTCTCCCTGACATACAGGATCTGGAGCAGACTACTGATGGCAGGTGGACCTGTATTATAGAACTGGATGTGTTTCAGGACTTCATTTTGGATATTCATGCTTTGCTATTTCATATGAAGTATGGTTTGTAGATGACAGAGAAAATTATTGAAGAAGCAGAACATAAATCTGTGCAAGTTCAAATAAACTGTCACTTGGAAGGTTCAATAAAATCTTCAATAAGCTTTAATATGAAGCTTGATACTGTGTTGGTGAGATATGTTGCATGACACAGATGTCTTCCAATTCTAGTTTCTATTTCTACTTTTTATGTGCCATCTTACCCTTTACCGTGCTGTCAAAGAAACAGGACTGTTTGCTTACTGAATGGGTCATTTTGAAATGAGTTTTTACTTCTGTATTTTGGGAGAGTCACAACAAACCCAGCTGCTGTGAAACTACTCGTCATCTACAATTTAATAAATTCAGATCACTATTTCAATTAAAAGAAGTGACTAACAAAGAACAAAGGCCCTACTACAATTTAAGCAGAATATAATCCTTCCACCCCCACCCTCTTCAGTATAAATGGCATTAACTATCCAGGAGCTAAAGTAATGGACACTATAGCTAGATACATCCACTCCACACATCGTCATTTCCAAAAATTAAATACTAACAGCTGCCTGATGCAAGAAAATAATCAGTGAGAAAGACAGTGTTAACTTTATATCTAAAGGGTATCATATAAAGCTGTGGAAAAAGCAAGAGAGAAGATGGAGTATGCTTTAAAAAAACCCAAACCCGTTGCCATGGAGTTGATTCCGACTCACAGCGACCCTACAGGAGAGAGTAGAACTGCCCTATAGGGTTTCCAAGGAGTGGCTTGTGGATTCGAACTGCCGACCTTTTGGTTAGCAGCCAAGCTCTTAACCATTGTAAGTTTTATGTTAGAAAAAGGAGTACAGCACTGGGAGAAGAAATGTGATCCTTTTAATAAACGTCGTCTGCCATTTACCTTAAATTGGATGCTGGTTACTAACAAGCACATCTCAGAGCTGACAGTCCGGTCGTTCATTCCCAGAATCCTCTGAAGAAACAGACCAGACTACTGTTCTCCATTTCATAGGGGATTTGAACAAACTCAAAGGCTCACTGTGTCTTTGAGGTCAGTCAATGGACAGTGTATGCAGAGAACAGCTACCTCTCTGTATAACCACAAATAGTTCCCTATTAGTGAAATCCTCATTCTACACTAGAATTATCAACCCTACCCGAATTGTCTTCCTATATCTACACAGGATATATAATTTTCAAGGACTCACACAAACATGGTCTCCTGAAGTACTCAAGAAACGCATTCCCTGACATGAAATAGAGCGATTATATGGTGTGGTGGTCAACAGCGGATTCCAGGACAACCGCACAGATGTCACGAAAGAATGTCTTAGGATTTCGCCCTCAAAGGGGCTTTCTGGCTTCGTTTTCTCTTTGATCTAAGAGGTGCGGCCAGAGAGGTGTGCAAAACAGCAACCCCTAGGTGAAAAGACTCTAAACACAAACAAAAGACTATAACTGGGCCAAAATGGGGTCCCCGTTAACAACGATGACCACTTTCTTCAGTGGGCATTCGGCTTTCTGAGGGGGCGGGGAAACCTTAATTATTTCAAGCCAGAAAGCGGATAAAAGCAGAAAGCTAAGGAGCTGGAAAACTCACGAGTCTGGAATAAAAAGCCCAGGTTATCCCACCTCCCAGGGCAGCAGATCCTAAAGGCAATTCCCGCCCTGAGCCCAAAAGAGGAGACGTGGGTCGGAGGAGAGACGGGAAGGCCGGGACCCGCGCAGAGCGCGCGCACAGGGGCAGCGCACACACCCGCGCCGCTCCCTCCTCGGACCGCCAGGACCAGGAGCATCCCGGTGGCGGGGCCAGCCGGGGGAAGGCGCTTACCACTTCCAGCCCCGAACGCGGCGGCCGCTCCTTGCTCGGCTGCTCGACAGCACCTCCCTTTGGGCCGCAGATTCTGCACCCGCGCTCTCCTCCGCCAGATGTCCTCGCACTGCACGCCCTTCCTTCAAGGTGCCAAGCGCCACACCCCGAGCCGCGGGCCAGAGCCCGTATTTAAAGGTTTCTGCCCGAGAAGACGGAGGCGTCATTCCCTAGCAGCCAGGCCCTCCCACACTCTGCCCAGAGCCGCATCCCAGCACTCCACCCCGAGCCAAGCACAATTCGTGACCCGGCCCCTATTTCCTGCAGGGCCTAGGGGCGGGGCTCCGGGGCGGGGCTAGCGCGGCCGGGAGGAGCAGGCCCCGCCCCGAAGCTAGCGTGAGTGAATCCGCGGGGGCCAGCTCAGCGGCCCCGCCCCTTCCGCGAGCGACGCTGGGCTGCGCTGCGTGCGCGGCGGGTCCACTTGGTTCGGGGGCGGTGCGTTAGGTGGGTAGTGGTCCTCTTTTTGTCTGCGGGACAGTAGGGAAGGTTAGGCCTTGTTGTCTAGCCCCTGCAGCGCTTTCCTGGCCGGCAGTCGGCGCGGAGGAGGGGGCCGCATGCGCGATGGGTCCTCAAGGCCTTCGGGCTGAGGCACCGGCCGGCCTGCGGGCCGAAGCGACCGGAAGGCCCCAGACCCTCTTCCGTTCTCCCCAGCAGCGGGAAGGGCTGGTCCCGGCTTCCGTCCTCCCGGATTCTGTCTGTCCCGGCTAGCGGCTTGCGCCCCTCCCACGTACCCCAGGGCCCTGGGTTCGCCCCCGCTTCCGGGCCCGCGGCCCCAGGTTTCGTCTGATCCCGCCCAACCCGCGGCTTCTGGGAAGGAGACTCCTCACGTCTGGAGGATGCTGAGTCCCATCATGACTGGACCAGTTAGTGCCCCCGCCCTGACCCTTGGGAGGAGAAGCGAGACACCCACACCCTCCAGGCTTGTTTCCCAGATACACTACTCCGGCCAGATTCAGGGTCTGGGATGCTTGTGCGTGATACAAAATAGAGAATATGCAACATGTAAGTGCCGTGTATAACCAAAAAAACCAAACCCGTTGACGTCGAGTCGATTCCGACTCATAGCGACCCTGTAAGGATAAAGTGGAACTGCCCGTAGAGTTTCCAAGGAGCGCCGGGTGGATTCGAACTGCTGGCGTTTTGGTTAGCAGCTGTAGCTCATAACCGCTACTCGACTAACCAGGGTTTCCTGAATAGAATAAAATTAGTAAGATTAATAAATTACTATGGAGACTGCCCACTTTTCTATTCCTCTCTTTCCCCATTCTGAGGTCATCTTAGAAGGAAAAAAAAAAAAAAAAAACAGGAACAGCCATGGCTTTTTGTTTCCCTCATTAAATTAAGAAGTACATCAGATGACATAATCTGTACTTGAAGTTAAAGATCATTTTTAAGTACATCATGAGGAAAGTGATTAAGAGTTCATAAAGACATTAAAATGCCACATAGGTGAGAGTTTTCTTTATAGGATCATGATGGCAACTTTAAGAGAAGTTGTTGAATTTTGTTTGTTGTGGGTTGTAGAACGCATGATAGAATATGTAGGCTTTGCACATTCTGTAAGGAACCCTGGTGCCGCAGTGGTTAATAAAAGCGCTTGGCTGCTCACTGAAAGATCGGCGGTTTGAACTCACTGGCAGCTCAGCAGGAGAAAGATCTGGCAGTCGGCTTCCACGTACACATTCTATGCAATTCAATTCATTCACCCAACAAAGATTTTTTTAGTGTCTATTATTTGTCAGACATTATCCTCGAGGCCAAAGATGCAAAATGGATTAAGATTCAATTCCTTCTTCCAAAACTCACGGACCAGTAGAAGAGAGATATAACCAAATGTAATGCCATGTGACAAGTACCTCCATTGGTATCTTTTTGAACTGAACATATACATAGATTAAAGTTACCATTACAATTGATTTGTGTTAAAAAAAAATTTTTTTTCTATTATTCCCTTTGGTTTGAATTCAACATTTTTCTCCTCGCATTCTTTGTTACTAGTTTGATAATAATTATAATCCTCAAAACAATGTCAGATATAAGGAATCAGGAACAAGATCTCAGAAATTGAATCAAAGAATATCAATGCTAGAATAGAACTTTGAGGTGATCTAGGACAGTAGTTCTCAAAATGTAGACTTGGGGCTGAGACCCTTTCAGGTGATTTAGGAAATAATATTGGAGTTATTATGCCCTCTCATTGAGCATGGAGAATTGTGACCCATCTGGGGCTGAGCCCTCACAGACTCACAAAAACACATCAACTGGGCCCTGAGATAAGACTACAGATGGGACAATCTCAGAAATTATCTTAAGGAAGTTTTCACAAAAGGGCAATAAAAACCTAACCCAAAAGACTTCTCACCTTTTGTCTTTTTCTATTAACATTTAGTGAATAGGAATTTGTTGGACCAATGAAGACCCTCCTGACTTTTATAACTGAAACCTGTACCAATGATTGCTAAGAAAGATGATTCAAAATGTAAGATTACAATTTCTAGCCAATCAGTGAGAAAATGACACTTTCAATGATTCTACCCATTTTGTGATGTTGATACATACAGAAGATTATGTAATATTCTTTGGACTCAGGCAGACATGGCTGTGGCAGCATGCTTGTCCACTTCCCACTTTTGTCCTTTTGAATATATGCCAAATAAAACTTTCTTTTTACTTTACTAAATTTTGTGATGTTTTTCCCCTACAACACAAGGGGTCCATGCGGTCAAATTTTTAATGATAATACCAATATGTTCTTTGCCTTTTTCACTCTCATTGTCAAGTGTACAATAGAATTTTCCAGAGGCTATATGACTTGTGATATCATAGCAGATTGAACATTGAACACAGAAGCAGACATGAGGATCCAGCTGTCTTCTTTTTTTTTTTTTTTTTAATTGTGCTTTAGGTGAAAGTTTACAGCTCAACCGAGTTTCTCATCCAAAAATTTATACATAGTTATGTGACCCTAGCTGCTATCCCTATAATGTGACCACACATTCCTCCCTTCCACCCCGGATTTCCTGTGTTCATTCAGCCAGCTCCTATCCCTTTCTGCCTTCTCATCTCACCTCCGGACAGGAGCTGCCCAGTTAGTCTCATGTATCTATTTGAGCTAAGAAGCACATTCTTCACAAGTATCATTTTATGTCTTATAGGCCAGTCTATTCTTTGTCTGAAGGGTTGGCTTTGGAAATAGTTTTAGTTCTGGGTTAACAGAGAGTCCGGGGCCATGTCCTCTGGGGTTCCTCCAGTCTCAGACCATTAAGTCTGGTCTTTTTACTAGAATTTGAGTTCTGTACCGTACTTTTTTTCCTGCTCCATCAGGGACTTTCTGTTGTGTTCCCTGTCAGGGCAGTCATTGGTGGTAGCCAGGCACCATCTAGTTCTTCTGGTGTCAGGCTGATGGAGTCTCTGGCTTATGTGGCCCCTTTTGTCTCTTGGGCTAATATTTTCCTTGTGTCTTTGGTGTTCTTCATTCTCCTTTGCTCTGGGTGGGTTGGGACTAATTGATGCATCTTAGATGGCCACTCACTAGCTTTAAAGACCCCAGCAGCATCTTCTTTTAAGCCAGATGTTGTTGTGAGGTGCCATTGAGTCAGTTCTGACTCACAGCGACCCTATGTACAGCAAAACAAAACACTGCCCCTTCCTGCGCCATCCTCATAATTGTTATGCTTGAGCCCATTGTTGGAGCCACTGTGTCAGTCCATCTTGTTGAGGGTCTTCCTCTCTTTTGCTGACCTTCTACTCTACCAAGCACAATGTCCCTCTCCAGGGACTGGTCCCTTCTGATAACATGTCCAAAGTATGTGAGACGAAGTCTCACCATGCTTGCTTCTAAGGAGCATTCTGACTGTACTTCTTCCAAGACAGGTTTGTTTGTTCTTTTGGCAGTCCATGGTATACTCAGTATTCTTCACCAACACTGTAATTCAAAGGGATCGATTCTTCAGTTTTCTTTATTCATCATCCAGCTTTTGCACGTATATGAGGTGATTGAAAATACCATGCTTGAGTCATGACTGCACACCTTAGTCCTCAAAGTGACATCTTTGCTTTTTAACACTTTAAAGAGGTCTTTTGCAGCAGATTTGCCTAATGCAATGCATCGTTTAATTTCCTGATGGCTGCCTCCATTGGGCATTAATTATGGATCCAAATAAAATGAAATGCTTGGCAACGTCAATATTTTCTCCGTTTATCATGATGTTGCTTATTGGTCCAGTTGTGAGGATTTTTGTTTTCTTTATTGAGGTGTAATCCATACTGAAGGCTGTGGTCTTTGATCTTCATCAGTAAGTGCTTCAGCTTTCAGCAAGCAAAGTTGTGTCATCTGCATATCACAGGTTGTTAATCAGTCCAATCCTGATGCCATGTTTTCATATTTAGCTTCTCGGATTATTTGCTCAGCATACAGATTGAATAAGTATGGTGAAAGGATACAACCCTGACGCACACATTTCCTGATTTTAGACCATGCAATATCCCCTTGTTCTATTTGAACAACTGCCCCTTGGTCTATTTACAGGTTCCACGTAAGCACAATTAAGTGTTCTGGAATTCTCATTCTTCACAATGTTATCGATAATTTGTTATGATCCACACAGTTGAATGCCTTTGCATAGTCAATAAAACACACAGGTAAACATCTTTCTGATATTCTCTGCTTTAAGCCAGGATCCATCTATCAGCAATGATAGTCCTCATTCCACATCTTCTGAATTGGGCTTGAAATTTCTGGCAGTTCCCTGTCGATATACTGCTGCAACTGTTTTTGAATTATCTTCAAAAAAATTTTACTTGCATGTGATATTAATGATATTGTTCAATAATTTCCACATTCTGTTGGATCGGTTGCAGAGTGGCTGGTGGGCTCGAACCACTGACCTTTCAGTTAGCAATGGAGTGCTTAACCACTGCACCACAGGGGCTTCTTAAGAGAAGACTACAAGTGTAAAAAATAGTTCAGTATAAGATTTGATATAATTAACTACTTCACTGAATAAATCTTGTAAATTTTATCCACATGAATTTTATCCAGTGTCTCTTGAAAAATTTAGTAGTCCTGCAAAATATTCAGGTTACTTTTAAAATAATCAAAGTTGCTAATTTATATGACATTTTCTGTTTGGAATTCAGAACACCCCAGCATAGGTCAACATGTTCTCTTTCTAACTCTGAACTTCAGCCTTAATAAAAATATGTGTAAGATGGGGACAGATCTGAGG